AATTAATCCCATAAAAACATTTATGTTGTATTGATATTTATAATATAATTTTTAGAAGAACAATGGAAGCTCTTCCGTAAATTATTTGATGAGTATTATCCTATTTGTAAATTCGGAGGTTTATTTATACATGTAGTGTGTATTCGTCATCCAGATGATTTAGAGGTAATAAAAGAAATTTCTCTGTATACGTTACGATTGAATTAGATTGAAGAGCCTTGCGATTTACAGAAAGATATTCACTGATAAAAAATGTTTCTTATGAGAATACAATTAATATTAACTATGAGAATGGAAAGCTAAATATCGATACCTTATCGATATTAGAATAAAATACAGAGATGCAATTAATAAATTATTTGTGTATTTAAGATTAGTGATATATTAAGTGAATAATATACAGGGTGAATCATAATGGTTGTAACAACCTTTTACCATTAGAGATCAATTACTGACTGCAACTATAATCGATTGAATGATTCATAGATGACAGCTGCTTGGATCGACCGTGTCTGCAGTAACGTACAAGTGATTTAAATACTGTGAATCAAATAATATACATATTCTATGCATACTTTTCTAATATATTTAACTCTTTTATGTACATATTTTTCTTTCTACACGGTTTTTTTCTAAAAACGCGATTTCTTATTATTGTGAAACGTATCTACCACATAAAAATATCTTTTGCATTCGTGTATTTTTTAATACGATTTTTTTAAAATAATGGTTTTTTAATACATAGAATTTGACGGCAATTTTTTTCATTCTTACACAAATCATTTTAACGCGTAAAAAGAGTTGGATTGGTAAAGATACAAAAGTATTCTTTTTTTATTTAAAAAATGCGTAATTCTGCTTTCTACAAGAATTATTCTGCTTATTATTAATTTTCTAAGTTATAACTTTTCATTCTTAATATCTACAGCATTCTTAATATCTACAGCAGAATATTTCTTGTAGAAAGTAGAATTACGTATTTTTTTATAATATTTTTTTAGCCTCTTATAATATTTTATTTGCATTCAAATCCACATCTTGACTTAAAAAAAGTAATTTGCTTGACATGGAAAAATCTTTATAAGCTTATACCTATATAGACTATATAGACCTATTTATATAGACATTTTTAGGCTTGTAAAAATGAATGATGAACAACTTATTGAATTAGTGCGTCAATATCCCGTGCTATACGATTTATCGCATCCTAAATATAAAAAACTGAGCCATCTTGAAAATCATTGAGTTCAAACTGATCAAATTATACGGATATATGTGAATAATCATCACTGATACACTACGGATGTTATTGACACGACACTGATACGGCTCTCACACGTCACGGATATGTGTAAATAGAAATTGTATATTCCTGTATTTAATAATTGTGTTGTGCATAAAGTTATTTCTGTTCTTAAGAGTGTGAAGCAAAAACGCAACAAAAAAATATATATATACACACATATTTTCTAAATAAATTTGCATTATTCTTGAAATATATGACACTATTTTTTTACCTGAATTTGCTTTGCCTCATGTATTATAATAAATAATTTTTTCCCTATTAATATTTTAAATGGTGATGGATAATTATTTATAAATTTTTTTATAACATTTAAAAATGTTTAAAAATAAATTTTATGGTTTATTTTATAGTTTTCATATAAAGTAATTTATGAATATTTTATTATAATTAATATTAACTATAATTAATTTTCGGATAAATATTTTTATCTTTTTATTATTACCATCAGAAACTCCGCCGAAGAAAATAAGCACTTCCAATAAGAGGAAATGTTTCTGGACCAGGCAGAATGTTTTCCATTTTAATAGAAATAGAAACAGTAGAACATTACGTAACATTAATATATAATCATATTACCATTTTACTGTTATCATTTTTCAGTAATATCATTTGTAATTGTTATATTAATTTTACTGGCAAGTATAAGTTATTTCAAATTAATAAAATAACTAATGTCGCTAGTCAGAAAATCACAAGGATCGTTGAAAAAAATGTAGTCGACCAAACTAGCCAGAAATTTGTTTATTAATACGACGTTTCGACCATATGGTTGTGGTCCTTATCAAGTATATACTGGAAAGATTTATAAATAAATTAAACAATTAATTTTCGGTTTGAATAATATAACAAGCACAACGAAATAAAGTGTGATCAATTTTACCGATGCAATAATAATCAGGAGACAGGCATAGACGATAATCTTGCAAAAAACTACACAAGTCACATTAACAAAAAACGTTATTTTTTTACTCGATTTGAATTTGAGAGAAATTCTGATGCGTCCGTTTGAGACTTCGTCAAGAAACTAAACACAACCAGAGGAAAAACGAAAGTTTAGTGACGAAAACTAAGTGACCTTTATTATTTTGTCATAAATGTTGTTTAAATTATCCGTGTCTTTCTGTAGGTTGATTAAGTTATTAAATCTCTTGATAAAGAACATCTCAGCGATCTCTCTCTTTCGAACATACTTTTCGCTATGTAAAATATTGGGTTTCGACCAGTCAAATTCATGTCCCGATTCTAATCTATGTTTGCTAATGACTGAATGATTTGTTTCATGTAACTTTATATTATTGCAATGTTCTTCATTCGCGTACGTAAATGTCTTTTTGTTTGCCCAATGTATGATAAGTTACAATCTTTACAATTTAATTTGTATACAACACTTGTCTTGTCATTATTATGTAAGCTATCTTTACCGCGTCTAATTAAATTATTTAGTTTTTTTGTTATTTTGTAAACGACGTTAAAACCACTATTTCGTAAAAGACGGTACAGATCATGACTCGTATTCTCTACGTATGGTATTGTAATAAAATGAGTCTTGTTTAAACGAGTAGGATTCACATCAATAGTATCATTGTGGTCGCGATTATTTAAAAAATTAATTCTTTTTTGAATATGCCTATGGATGATATGTTCTGGGAAACAGTTATTGATTAAGGTGTCATACACTAACTTAATGTTTTCTTGTTTGAAGCAGTCATTAGATAATAAAATAGCATGGTCAACTAAATTATAGATAGTGTTAATTTTGTATTTTTGCGGGTGGTTCGAATAATAATTAATGTACCTCCCAGACCATGTAGGTTTCCTGAACCAGTTTGTAATTAGTCTAGTTTTCGATCGAATGACTTTAACATTTAAAAAACTAATCGACGAATCAATCTCCATCTCCATCTCCATACGTAGAGAATACGAAAAATATCATATACGGTAACAATTATTTCAAGATTAAATTTCTAATTTAAAATATGTCCTAACTTAAAATATGAATTTAGGACCTCTAAATAAGTATCGGAATTGTAATATCATTCCTATCTTTTTTAAATGTCAAATGATATGTATTATGTATTTATGTATATGTATTTTTGTGTAGCAATCATTTATCGGCTGTTCTTCCGAAATCATGTTGCGATTTGGGACAAATTTTGCATATATAAATATACATATATACGTGGGTCGTTTGATAAGTTTGGTAAATTTTTGTGAAATTGCGTCACAATCCATTTGGTGACGCCTCATCAGCCTACTTTTCCGAAGGTATTAAAGATTGGAAATTTGATGGACTAAGTGTATAGACCTCGATGGAGACTATATTAAGAAATTACATAAATTTTTTAAAAAATAACGTGTTTTATTTTTTACCAAACTTATCAAACGACCCTCGTACATTTAATCTTTATATATATATATATATATATATATATATATATATAAACATACATATCTTTATATATATATATATATATATATATATATAAACATACAGTATCTTTATATATATATATATATATATATATATATATATATATAAACTATCTTTATATAACTATCTTATATAACTATCTTTATATAACTATTTTTATATAACTATCTTTATATAACTATCTTTATATAACTATCTTTATATAACTATCTTTATATAACTATCTTTATATAACTATCTTATATAACTATCTTTATATATATATATATATATATATATATATATATATATAAAGATACTGTATGTTTATATATATATATATATATATATATATATATAAACATACAGTATCTTTATATATATATATATATATATATATATATAAACATACATATATGTACATATCTAATCTTCATGTATGTAAACATACATATATACAATACACATCTACAATGTTTATATAATATAATCCTAGAACAAGAGAGAGAGAGAGAGAGAGAGAGAGAGAGAGAGAGAGAGAGAGAGAGAGAGAGAGAGAGAACCAAAAGTAATATTTATGTTGATATTTATGTTAATATTTTCATTCATATTTATCTTTTTTTAAAATGACTTGAATTTTTCTAAAATTTTAAAATGACTTGAATTTTTTAAAATGACTTGAATTTTTTTAAATGATTGAAATGACTTTTTGAAATGACTTTTTTAAAATGACTTGAATTTTTTTAAAATGACTGAATTTTTATTGAAAGATTTGATTTTCTTTCTTCAAAGATAAAATAGATAAAATCTAACATTAAGTTAAAAGAATTTTAAAAAATAGCAGAGTGAAAATTATCATTTAAAATATAACATAAAATATAAAATTATTATTGTATAGAATCTTATAAAAAAATTGCATTTTAAATCAAAACTTATCTAATTTGTTTTAACTGAAAAATTCTTGAAATCTTTTATGTGTGAGACTTGTTATTTCAATAAAGTAATACGTTTACTTTCTAATCTGAAGGACGCATTATGTAAATAGTGTTTTTTTGAATTTATTATAGTACGATTGGGTGGGGAAGACATAATAAAAGCAACCGTAACAGAATGTAACAGTAGAACAGAAGGTAACATTAATATATAATCATATTACCATTTTGCTGTTACCATTTTTCAGTAATGTCATTTGTAATTGTTGTGTTAATTTCACTGGCAAGTATAAGTTATTACATCTTAAATTACTGTCATCGATGATGACAGTAATTTAAGATGTAATAACTTATACTTGCCAGTAAAATTAATATAACAATTACAAATGATATTACTGAAAAATGATAACAGTAAAATGGTAATATGATTATATATTAATGTTACGTAATGTTCTACTGTTTCTATTTCTATTAAAATGGAAAACATTCTGCCTGGTCCAGAAGAATTTCCTCTTATTGTGCTCGTTATTGTGCTGCCTCGTATAAGTGCTTATTATTTTCTTCGGCGGAGTTTCTGATGGTAATAATAAAAAGATAAAAATATTTATCTGAAAATTAATTATAGTTAATATTAATTATAATAAAATATTCATAAATTACTTTATATGAAAACTATAAAATAAACCATAAAATTTATTTTTAAACATTTTTAAATGTTATAAAAAAATTTATAAATAATTATCCATCACCATTTAAAATATTAATAGGGAAAAAATTATTTATTGTAATACATGAGGCAAAGCAAATTTAGGTAAAAAAATAGTGTCATATATTTCAAGAATAATGCAAATTTATTTAGAAAATATGTGTGTATATATATATATTTTTTTGTTGCGTTTTTGCTTCACACTCTTAAGAACAGAAATAACTTTATGCACAACACAATTATTAAATACAGGAATATACAATTTCTATTTACACATATCCGTGACGTGTGAGTGCGGTATCAATGTCGTGTCAATAACATCCGTAATGTATCAGTGATGATTATTCACATATATCCGTATAGTTTGATCAGTTTGAACTCAATGATTTTCAAGATGGCTCAGTTTTTTATATTTAGGATGCGATAAATCGTATAGCACGGGATATTGACGCACTAATTCAATAAGTTGTTCATCATTCATTTTTACAAGCCTAAAAATGTCTATATAAATAGGTCTATATAGTCTATGTAGGTATAAGCTTATAAAGATTTTTCCATGTCAAGCAAATTACTTTTTTTAAGTCAAGATGTGGATTTGAATGCAAATAAAATATTATAAGAGGCTAAAAAAATATTATAAAAAAATACGTAATTCTACTTTCTACAAGAAATATTCTGCTGTAGATATTAAGAATGTAAAAGTTATAACTTAGAAAATTAATAATAAGCAGAATAATTCTTGTAGAAAGCAGAATTACGCATTTTTTAAATAAAAAAAGAATACTTTTGTGTCTTTACCAATCCAACTCTTTTTACGCGTTAAAATGATTTGTGTAAGAATGAAAAAAATTGCCGTCAAATTCTATGTATTAAAAAACCATTATTTTAAAAAAATCGTATTAAAAAATACACGAATGCAAAAGATATTTTTATGTGGCAGATACGTTTCATAATAATAAGAAATCGCGTTTTTAGAAAAAAACCGTGTAGAAAGAAAAATATGTACATAAAAGAGTTAAATATATTAGAAAAGTATCCATAGAATATGTATATTATTTGATTCACAGTATTTAAATCGCTTGTACGTTACGGCAGACACGGTCGATCCAAGCAGCTGTCATCTATGAATCATTCAATCGATTATAGTTGCAGTCAGTAATTGATCTCTAATAGTAAAAAGTTGTTACAACCATTATGATTCACTGTATATTTTTTCCTGTTTCCGATTATTTCAGACGATATTAAGCAACACTGAGCACAACGAAAAAAGTCGTGTGTATGACGTGTTTCATCCTTGGTTAAATACAGGTCTCTTCACTAGCACAGGTAATATAACGTTAATATATGTATAAGTACATATTTTTCTGTTACAATTTGTTGCCGATCTGTCACAGAAAATCAAATAAAATGTTAAAATTAGACTTGAATATTATCTTAAATGGTGAATGTATACAACCTCTTTGTTAAAAACTAATAATTTAAAAAAAAATTTGTAGATGAGATATTGAGAGATAATTTTACCGTGATGCATGTTCATATTGTCATAAACAGAAATAAGAGAGATAATTTAGTTATAATTTAGTTAGTATTTAAATAAAAAATCATCACTAATAGATTGTACTATCAGTAATAGATTTAATTAATATTAATTTATATATTATATATTATACATTTTTATATATTTATATATTATATATTTATATTATTATTATATATTATATATTTATATTATTATTATATATTCTATATTCTTATTAATTTATTTCTATTTAGTAATTTATAAAAAGTTAATTACAAAATAATAATTACATCTACTTGATACTTGCAATTTTTCTTTTATAGCACAATGTTATTTTATTTTGTTTCCATTTTAGCGATTAAGTGGAAGTCGCGGCGAAGGATGTTAACACCTGCATTCCATTTCAATATATTGAATAAATTTGTTGATATCTTGATCAAGGAGGGCGATTGCTATGTTGGATCTTTTAATAGCGGCATCTCGAGAAAATTCTCTAACTGATTTGGATATCAGAGAAGAAGTCAACACTTTTATATTCGGAGTATGTATTTGTCACCTTTTTTCATTTTTTTGTACATGATATATAAATATGTATAACAATATGATGATGATTATAGGGTCATGATACTACAGGGGCGAGTTTAATGTTTATTTTACTACTCCTAGCTGAACACAAAGATATCCAGGTACCTATTTTCCGCAATATATTGTGAAGATTTTTATTCAAAGTAATAAAGATATCAAGTTCTTGTTACGATATATTTTTCCTAGATATATTAGATATTCGGAAGAGATTTAATCGTATTTAAAATAAATGGAAATTTTGATTTATTAACAATTTATTTTTATCTGTGCACTAAAAATCAGAATTAAGAAATACATTTTCATTATATTATTGATGACACAGGAGCGTGTAAGAGCTGAAGTCGATACTGTGATGCAAGAGAACGGAGGAAAACTTAACATGAGATTATTACAAAATTTATCATATTTAGACAGATGTTTAAAGGAAGCGATACGATTATATCGCTTCTTTTAAACATCTGTCTAAATATGATAAATTTATGAGCGTGAATTTTATATTACGCAAGACTGGGAATGTTGTAAAATTACGTAATTAGTCACTTTTTGCTGCATATATTTTTGAATATGTTACATAATATGAAGTATATATTATTGAATGTAAAGTAAGATTAATTAGTATTTTAAGAATACAATATTATATTTTATTTTTAAGAATACAATATTATATTTTATTTTTCTCAAAGAAGCACTCATTTTCGTAAATTTTAATATTTTTCAATTTTATAATAATTTTCAGAATCATATATCGTACCCGTTGGAACGTCCATACTTCTTAATATTTACGGAGTTCACAGAGATCCTAATTTTTGGCCAAATCCAGAAGTGTATGATCCGGACAGATTCTTACTCGAAAAGAGAAAGAATCATCATCCTTATTCTTATATACCATTCAGTGCAGGATCAAGAAATTGCATAGGTGAATTGATCGCGATTTTCGTTTCTCGTATCAATAATTTATCATAAACTTCGAATTGTAGGTCAACGTCTCAGTTTGCTCAGGACGTATTATTATATCAAATAATAAAGGAATATTTTTTAAATACTCAACAGGTTCCAAGTATTATGTATTAAAGGGGCTATCATAGCTTTCATCATCAAGCTGATGGTAAAAGCTATGATAGCCCCTTTGATACATAATTTTAAGTTGGAACCTACTGAGTATTTAAAAAATAACGAGGATATTGCAAGAGTGTAACAAGATGATACAGTGGATAAAATCGAAAAAAATTGTTATGTATATTATATGTTCAACATTATGAGGAAATATTATGTATGTAAACATTACATTTAATTATGAAAATATTCACAAAGAAAATCTTAGAAATCAGAACTCTATATATCCTATATATACCCCATATTAAATTTAACGTATGTAAGGATCCTTTATCATGTACAATCGCAATAAAAACGTTTATCCATAAAATATATACGTGCAAAGCTAATAAAATAATTATTTTTTCTATATATCTTGGTAAATGCACTAAGTAAAATATATGCATATGTCTTGTTCTCGTTTACATTTTCGCGTACAATTAAAGTATTTTTAGGCATTACCATCCGCTATGGCTCGGATACGCCAGTTTTCTTATCTTGTTGTTTGATACATAACGAGCCTAATTCCTTTCGATTTTAGTTTAATTATTTTTTGTGTCTTATTCATAGAATTAAAAGAAAGTTTCAATCGACGCAATCGATGTCTCACGGGTTTTGCGCTGGATGAAAATAAATATCTTCTTTTCGTGGAGTAACACACGCATCATATATCAAGGTGTCAAAATAGATATCTGTTTCGATGACTAGAGAATGCCATAGTGGATCATGATTGCTGTTTTTATTTTCATCTTCATTTGCTGTAACAAGTTTTCTTTCTTTGGATTAATGGATTGTTTTCTATTTTTTTTTCGATAGCTAGAATCTTTTTCTTCAAAATAATTTTCAATCGACGAAATATATTCATCGTATACTTGAATCGATTTACAATATTGCAATTATATTTTTATATCTGCAGAAGTTTAAATTTGACAAGATCGTTAATTAAATTTAATTTTTTTTCTGTTATGCGAAATAATATTTTTATGTTTTTTCCTTATCCATTTTAAATTTTAAGTGGTAAACATTTTAATTATACATTTGAAAGATGCGGTTTGTTTATCATTACATTATCGTACAACTTTAAATTTAATTCCTTTACTTATAAAATATTATTTATATTATATTTGTTCTTTTCTGTGTTAATAAATTCCTTCTTCACATAAATCTCGTGGGAAAGAGATCTGTCGCGTAGATTTACACTTACACACACGCTAAATAAAGAAATAAAGGATGAAAAGAACACGTAAAACTATATTGAATATTGATAGATAATTTTCAGAATAAAACTATAATACAAAGTATATATAAATATTTTAAGTGTAATTATTTGTTAAAAATATTTTCTATTAACACAAATTTTAATTTTTCAGAATAATAAATCGAACGATAAGACGATCAGACGAATAAATCGAAAAATAAGATTTTAGGATGAAAAAATATCACTAAAAAAATATTATATAGAAAATATGTATATGACATATATGACGATGAACAGAGATGTCATGAGATTATAAGGAATAAAAGATTAAAGGATATAAAATAAGAATATAAATAGAATAACGGACCAAACATATTTGAATTTTAAAATAATAGTTTGCATTTTTATTTGTTTATATACATATATAATTAATAAATGATCGACTGATGAGAAATCAGAGAGATTTCCAATCGTTTGTGAAAAATGTGGAGTATAAGTGAAACATATAATCAGCACCATTTGCGCAACGTGAATATAAAAATATTAAATTTTAATAAATATTAATATTTTATATTTATAAAAATGCAACATACCATATATTAAATATTTATTTTAATCATGTTGATTCTTATTATTAGTTTTAGCATATTACAATTCATATTCACTTATGTTTTGTTACGTTTTATATTTTATTTATCTTACATTCCTATAATACATATATTCTTACAAAAGATATAATCTATTTTTTATTTTTTTTATTGATCTACACATAACTTGTACTTTTAAAGTTGCAAAATTTGTTTGTCTATACACGGAAAATCGACTATTCACAAACGCGATTTTGATTAAAATAACTTTGTCGCAAAGAAATATCTCTTTGAGAGAGCACCATTTCTTTGTCAGTGACCACTTGGTACAAACCACAGCATCATTTTGTTATGATTAATATTTCTTGATGAGCACTTTATGTCACATCACGAAATTAGATCAATAAAAATGTTATCTGTTATTTCCTAATATCTTACGTATATTAAGTGAGATTCAAATACTAACAAGATACAAAATTATAACTATTTAGATAAAAAAATGTCATATCACATTACAGTGTGAAGCTTTTATATAATACTATTAATATGCTAATATTATATAATCATTTTACATATGTTTCGAATGCCTCTTATTATACTTTAAGTATTTTTTTAATAAAATTTCTTCTTCTTGGTGAAGCATGAAATATTATAATTTTTATTTAAAATACTAATTTCTTTTATCTGGAATCTCTTTTCATTAATCATAAGTATGTTTATAAAACACAAAATAATATGTAAAATTTACGAATATACAGATATATAAATATTTCAGGAATCATTTAGATATTCCAGCAATATTTAAAAAATAATTAACATATCCAATGGAACATTGTATAAAAGCTTACACAAAAATATCCCATACATTTAACACATTGTATACATTTTCAAATCTATTATCTATGTCTAAATCTCGATAATATACATTTTATTTTCGATGTATTCAAATGTTCCCGAATCGCCAAGTCCCCTTGATTATCTGTTGATATAATTTTTCCGCGTGTCTTCGCGCTTTCCTACGAGAAAATACTCTTCGAAAATACCAATCGGCGCTACGTCGCCGTTGCTTCCTGCGCGTATTAAATCTGCGAGAATGAAGAGTATTATTTGTTAAAGATATAAGGATTAGAAGCTATAATGCCTTAAGTATAGCAAACATACTTTTTCAACATAAGAAACTTATATCTGTATTATTTGTTTCTTAAATTTTATTTTTCAAATTAATACCTTTTATTATCGCTCTGCCAATCCATATTTATATAATCCTGGTTATTTTGCTTTGTTACGCGGCTGTTAAACGACTGTTTAGATTTATGATAATCATTGGGATGCTCCGACATACGATTCTTAATTTCATTCCGAGGGAGTTTCTTCTTTTTTCGTTTTATATTCTTATCATCATTATTAAGAATCTTTTTAATGGAATCACTCGATTTAAAGTAATCCTTTTGTTTTGGTTTATTCTTCTCAAACAAAACTTTTCCAGAATTTTCATAATCCAATACAGATTCTTTACTATTTGTATCATGTTTGTTGTTAGAATTAGCAATACGATTCTTTGTTTTACACTAAAAAAATTTAATTTATATTAACATGTAACTTGAGTTGAAATTACATACTATATGATATTTCTCTAAATTTTTCTCTCTCTGTAAATGCACTATTTTTATATATTATATCAAAATTTTTGCACTCTTCTCTTCTCTGTTTCTTTTTCTTCTTCTAATTTGAAATCTATATACAGGGTGACCCATTTTAACTTAGGCAGCCAAATAACTCGAAAAATAAGCACACTACGAAAAAATGGTTAGAATCAAAATTTCGTCATTTCGAGGGGGACGTACAATGACGTTAAAATCAGCCCCCCCACCCCTCCCCCTGGGCGGTGAGGAGGGGCAAGTTTGAAATCTTAAATGGAACCCCCTATTTTTCATTGCATATTCTTGTAGCTTATCTCTAGAGCTTTCCAAAACACTATAATTAAGTACCTTTTTATTAAGTACTTTTTGAGTTATAAGGCTTAAAATAATTTCTTAATTTTACATAAACCATAAAATATCTAGTAAACCATTCATTTTTCGATTATCTTACCTTCATACTTTTATGTACAAAATAATGAGAGGAATCAATTGGTGTAAAGAAAACATACAGTTGTTTTTAAGAAAAAATATGGAATTGTTAATTGCAAATTACATATTTTTTCTTAGAAACAATGTTTTCTTTACACCAATTAATTCCTCTCATTATTTTCTTTACACCAATTAATTCCTCTCATTATTTTGTACATAAAAGTATGAAGGTAAGATAATCGAAAAATGAATGGTTTACTAGATATTTTATGGTTTATGTAAAATTAAGAAATTATTTCAAGCCTTATAACTCAAAAAGTACTTAATAAAAAGGTACTTAATTATAGTGTTTTGGAAAGCTCTCGAGATAAGCTACAAGAATATGCAATGAAAAATAGGGGGTTCCATTTAAGATTTCAAACTTGCCCCCCCTCACCGCCCAGGGGGAAGGGTGGGGGGGCTGATTTTAACGTCATTGTACGTCCCCCTCGAAATGACGAAATTTTGATTCTAACCATTTTTTCGTAGTGTGCTTATTTTTCGAGTTATTTGGCTGCCTAAGTTAAAATGGGTCACCCTGTATATATATAAGAAATCAATAATTTATTATATAGATTATATAGATTTATAACTTACACTTAATGTGGTAGGCATTACAGGTACATCATTAACATTAAATCCTGGACAAGAATTGGTTGAAAATGGACATACATCTAATAATTGTATTAAAATATTATCGAAATTATCTTTTGACATGTCTTTTTGTATTCCAATTGATTGTAAATAATCATTCTCTTTTATACACCAATTAAATGACTCTTTATTGTTTTCTTCATTTTCTGTTGGTTGTTCTAAGAATTTACTATCCTTATGATGCTTATTTTTTAACCATACATTGTGTCTTTTTTCATTATATTTAGTACACATGTGCTTCAACATTTTTCTATTCATTTTTTCTTTCAAGTCTGATGGAAATAGCTGAGAAGTATTATGTATTTTATCACTAGCATTTTGGGAAAACTTAGTATATAATACGATAATTTAAATATACACAATGATAATTATAATGTGAATTATAATGGAAATAAAAAAAATGTTATTACTTACTTTGTGATAGTATAATGTTCATTCTTAACTGTTTCATTACTTAAAGAATTCTTTCCATCATAAATTTCCTGGCTCTTCTCTTTATCGTATCTTGTATGAACTATATTATCGACTTCCTTGATTTGTTCCTTCCCTGATCTATTTTTATTTATTTTTGTGTTCCTTTTTTCAAACGTTTTTGGATTCAATTTTTTTGATAAATAGTTTGAAGAACAAGATTTATCATAATTTTTGAAAAGCTGGTTATTTTCGATTAATTGTTTCAACAATTCATCATCAGGCAATATATTTTTCAAGTCACATAATTTTTTAATCAATTTGTGTCTTTGTTTAGTATATTTATAGCGCACACTTAAGTCGTTCATTTTTTTTAT